CCTTCTCCACATAGCCCGTCAGAGTAGAGTCAGCTTAACCCCACACTAAGCCACCTTGAGCAGAGACCAGAGCAATTAAAGCATCACTCATAGACTTTATCTGTAACCCCTCCACGAACCACTCAGAGGTCCTACCCTCTTGGATACTTGACAAGTGGGAAGGAAGGATCAGACTAAGTGGGGAGACTGTTTAGGGGCTTGCGATAGCAGCAGGGTCCTGGACCCTAAACTCCAGCTTATCATTCGAGGCGGCAGCAAAAGCTTCCCCTTGATCAAGGGCAGCCCCAATGTCTTATAAACCACCTGGGGTTGTAGTAGATAGAACAACTCCTGAATCTTCATTACTTTTTGCCACCTCCTGGGCCACCTCCTGGGCAACTTCAATTGGATCCATGGGTGTAGGCTCAGGAATGGTAGCGGCTTGGAAAGGGACTATTTGGAGATTTGGGTACTGGGTCTCTTTCTTTCCTTGTTGAATTAGACTCACTCTGCCATCGTCAAAGTCTGCTGACAGGATCATCGTCTGTCGGCGCTTATGTGTACGGCTCCCTTTTTAAGGTGTGAGGCGGGTTAGGAGAGGGGTAGAAGCAGGTTGGTCAAACAGTAAGGGCATCGTCTTCTTCCTTCTCTTAGCCTCAAGAGATGTAGACATAGCCCGCTCCTTCTTGTCAGGAATATCTCCTTTGTCAAAACGATTAGAGGAGCTCTTCTTAGCCCTGAATTTTTTAGAGACCAAGGGAACAAAAATTTAGGAGGAAGTATTGTCATGTTCCATCCCCTGGACCACAGTCCTCAAAGAGGGGGCTGTCGGGGTCTCAGAAGCGGTGAGGGCATCAATATTGCCCCTCAAAAATGTCATCAGCATATGGGATTGTGTCCAATCATGACCTACAAAAAACAAAACAGGTTTAGTCTAAGGGAACAAGTAAGAAGGATAAAATTGAGACAAATACGGAGAAAATACTTACTGGTGTGGCTCTTTATTATGCACCTAAAGTGCTAGGGCCACCATTTATTGAACTGGAGGCAAGCATCTCTATCTATAAGTTTCACTTTGCACTGACTCTGGGTGGTGATAGAACAACTATTTGATCTATAGCCTCCTTATCCAATAGCTTCACACTGATTTGAGGGGACAGGCCCTAAGGGATGTACTGGCTTAATCCAAATTAGCCCACCACCAGTTGAGGATGATAAGATTCCAAGTATACTCTGAGAGACTTAGAGGAAGAGCCAGTATATGGCAGCCATATCTTTTGGGGAGTGGTGGCTAAAAAGAAGACCTCATTCCTCAGAGGGTTGGTGGGCTTGTTCTTCTCCACCATATACTTGTACCAGGTGGAAAGACGACAGTCAGGGATGTTGAAAGCTTTTAAGGTCCTCCCTAAAGACCAGCTTTGCTAATAGAAGAACTCAGAAGTTTTTTGACTCCACCAACAGATGACCACCCAAGAGATAAGTGAAGGGGTGGTTGGCGTAGGAATCATCTGGAAAGGGCTCCTGCTGAAGGTTGGGAAAGTAAGCCGTCGTTCATAACTTTAAAAATCAGACGGGCCCATGAAAGTTGCTGAAGGGCTTCTTGATCAGCGACTCCCTTATGCCATCATAGAGACGACATAGAAACATAGTCCCTAGGGCTATTTGGTTGCCACAGAGTAGGGATTGGGTGATTCTTAAATGCAGCTACACGGGCTTCCCTCCCCTCGGAGCCAGGATCCATTAGCTTAATAGGATCCTTAGGAAGACCAAGTGCTCTATGGCAGTAACAGGCTCAGAGGCTGGCTTATCAGAGAACAGCTCCATAATCTTCGTATAGGAGCCCATGGCCCTGATCTTGATCTCCAAATCAGCAAGAAAGGTGGTGTAGGAGTCGTGCTTCTCGAGGATTGCATAGAAGTTCTCCTCCCCGATGATGGGCAGCCCCAGGAACATGAAAATATCCCATAGTGTAAGGGACATTGGGCTGAGCTCGAAGATAAAGGCATTACAGCCCGGAGCCCAAAAGGTAAGGAGGGCCGTTAAAAGGTCCACGAGGACGTCAAATTGGCCAGAGACAGCTGAATCAGGTCATATAGACCTATCTCCTTCCATTGAGGCATATGATCTGACTTCAAACGCTTTACCCAGTTGACTCAAGCACGAGGTGATCAGGGCCAATTCTTGAGCTTTCTGCAGGATGACTCGGGGAAGGGCGAGGTCGTCCAGGCCAAGACCAAATTGCGGATGGAGGTCAGTGGCCATGGATTCAATTGTGTGGGAGTATTGACTTCAGATAGGTCAGGAGAAATCATCAGATACCCGATGTCACTCTTATTGGAGATTTGGAAACTCCAAGGCGAAGTGGTGGACAAAAAGGAGGCACAGTAACACTTTTCAATAAAATAGAAGGGCTAAACATGAGAAGCGAGAAACTTACCAAAAAGCCACTGATTTATGGAATGATGAATTCTCCTGAAAAGAAATGAACAATTATTAGAGTGGAAAACCAATCTAAATGAAAAAAAGGTTTTTTAGACCACTAAATATATACCATCACGAGCTCGCCTAGTTGGTTTACCGGATTCTGGATAGTTGCCAGAGAATCTGGCAGACTACTAGTGGAAGTAGAAGAAGGTGCAGCGCCAGAGGAAACAGCAAAAGCAGATGAAGCCATTTGAGGGTTAAGGTAAGAGAAATGTAGCAGACTAAAGACTTGAAGTTCAAGAAATGGCAAAGAAAGCAAAAAAAAGTGACTAGAATATAGAAACGAGTTTATATCGACAGAGGGCGCTCAGAAGTGAAGCGATGTTTTGGTTTTTTCAAATGTGCCACGTGGGTTATGTTACCAGCCATTGGCACACGGGGGGCATTGTTTGGTCTGAATATGAAACGTCGCTCAACTAGGTCATGAAGCTAGTTGGGCTGAGTAATTGAAGCATCAGGTCCAATATAAACAAAGAGGCTGGCCTCAAAGCTCAATAAGTCCACAACAAATAAACATGTTGAAATCCCATCAGCTTCAAATATCAAATTGTTGGCACGAAGACACCATCCTAAGTGATATCGAAATCTACGTCCAAGTGGTTCGGTGAAATGGGCTGGTTATTTAAATGAAGAGACCGTGCCATAAGTTTTGCGGGATTCCTGATTCTTCGACAGAACGTGCTAAGTCTCAAGGGAAAGGCTTCTGCTATTCGACACTATAAATAGAAAGAAGAAAAACAGAGAAGGCTAGTCAACACTCAATCAAGACTTGCATATTTTACATTCATTAGCCTTTTTCAGTTTTTAGTCTATAATTTTCTACACTTCAATAAAAGCATAGACTTGTTCTACCAAAGCCTTCTATCTTTTTACATCCGAGCGAACTGTGATAAGGGAACTTGAAACCCTTTTCGTTATCTATTGATACTCAACGTCTCTGGCACACCTGATATTTATTGTTCAATCACGAACATGTATATTATTTTTTTCAAGATCCCAAAATGTAAAAGCTAAAATTATAACTTTTAACTTGTGCAAGAGGTAATCAGCTGTTGTGTCACATTCACAGGGTTCTCTGGCCCCCAAAAAAAAAAAACATTCACTGGATTCAAAATTCAAGGGAAAACATGAAAAGGCGTTGATAATTGAAGTGGTGGGCGCCATTTCCGTCACTTATGGATTCCCTTTATCTTAACTTTTCCCCCGTTAGGCAATTGATTAATTCCTTAATTTCCCTTTACGCAAATTGTTACTACTTGATCAATTTTGTTGGTTCCCAATCATTTGATTGTCACATTTCTTTTTGTTTTCATTCATCTGCCATTTTAAGATTTTATACCAATATTAATTACTGTTTTTCTAATTATATCATTATCTTTCATGACTTTAATTATAAACTTGATAATTATGGAGACAATAAATAAAATAAATTAAAGGCATATTATGAAATTTAAAAAAATTGGCACATCAATTATTTTTTAGTAAAATACACCAACTCCCCTATATTTTATCTTAATTACAAAAACCTCCCTTCTATATTTAAAAAAACCCATAGAAACCTTCCTTGAAATCAAAATTTACATAACAAATACCTCCTCTTTATTTTAAAGATTTCACTTCTATCCATCCAACCATTAAATCATATATTTTAAACTAAAATACCCCTTTTTAACATAAATTATGTTTAAGAGTCATTTAAGTTTCCAAATGATAATTATAATATATAAATTTGAAAAAATATTTAATATAAATAAACTTATTTATATATACAAGTTTAAGAGTTATTTATATAATTTTATTTAAATTGTAATTTTTAAAATTTTACATATATAAGTGGACAAAAAAGAGTCAGAATTTAATATAACGAGAGATAAATTAATTAATATAATTTATATTTATTTTACTATTTTAATATTTTGTAAAATGTTTATGAAAACATAACCATAATATTCTTTAAAATAGGAGAGATTATACATGAGATTATGAAAGTAAATTAATAATTTTATTTTTTTCACAGATTTTAATTAATATAATAAATCTTTTTAGAAACTTCAACGGAGTATTTTCTACGCCTTCCTCGTTTGTTTACTTCTCAAACTACTTTCACTCTTTTTTCTCCTCCCAATGTCATATTTCCGCCCTCATTTCCTTCATTTCCCAGTTCTCAGCCGTTTTAAGCCCTGCAGATTTTACTTTTAAGGCAAATGGCACCTAAAATTCAACTTCTTATTTACCTTTTCTTTCCTTCTTTCTAATCCAAGATTTTCTCTTTACATGTCAATCTTTATATATAACGTCTAGTAGATTGAATTTGCTACTTTTAAATTCGCTGGTCAAGGAGATTGCAACGTCATCATAATATTTCCGCCCTCATTTTATTCATTTCCCTGGCAGATTCAGGTAAACGGCATTTAAAATTCAATGCCTTCTTTCTTTCTGTCTGTCTGTTTAATCACAGATGTTTGCACTGGATCCATGATTTACATTTCATTCTTATTTGTTTGCATCGAAATCAGTGGTTATGTAGAATACGACACTAATCCTAACCAACTAGACCTTACCGGTACACAATATAAGAAATCTAATTAGACACATGCCAGTGCCCGCTAACATATAGATATACTAAATGGGCTATTAGTCCAATCCTGACTCACACAGTACAAGATAAACCTACTTCAGTTCAACACAAACATTAACCTTAGAGATCAAGATAATGAAAACATCAATATGATGGGGAAAAAAAACTGTCAAATATAGGCTGGGAATCAAGCTTTATGGTGAGCCCGAACTTATCAATGAATTACATTCAAAACAGAATACCAATGATTCTGCTAATGCATGGATTAGCAGAAAACATCACAAGTAACGGAAACTATAAAGAGGAGAGGATGAGGGCAATAACTCCTAGATTTTCAGAGGCCAGGCTCTCCTGACCTGGAAAATTCCCTACCATCCCTCTCAGCCATTCTCACTACGCACGCTCTCTTGCTCTGCTCCCAGCCACCTGTCATAATTACATAGCTAGGATCCTCATTTGATGCCTGCTAGGCCTATTTCATGCAACGCTGTCCCACCTGATAAAAGTGCGCGATGCACCATTAATTTTTTAGTGGCCCATCACTCTGATAAGACAAAATATATGCAATCCTGTCCTACCACCCTTACATTCTGCAAGACAAAATAAATGCAAGCATCCCCATATTAGCAATGGCAGAATCTCATGTGTGTTCACCAGTCTAACAACAGAGAGCTACCCTATGTCCAATCTAACTTTTCGATTGTCAGTATATCACTAACCATGTGCCCCTTTCCCTTGTCCATGATTGGGGAAAAATTGGAAACCAAACAAGAAATAGGGACTCAAAACTAATAATACCACGGACAACTGCTACTAACCATTAAAATCATTGTTTGCAAGGGCAGGATCAGTTTAACAGAGAATATATCATTTTGTATTACCAAATTAGTGAACAAAGATGACAAGTATATGGAACAAATAAGCAACGATAATGTTATATGGCAACTGGAGACCATCTCCACAGATGAAAAACACACCTTAATTTGTTTGCCCAAGAGAAAAGACTGGGTATTCCACATCTGAATAGCCATTGCTGCTTCAGCATGAGAACTGCACCTCACATAACCAAACCCTTTATCACGCTGGACTCAAACCTCCTCTATCGAACCAGCCCCAAGATTATGGAGGCGGCGATGGAGATCAAGCTGGGTTACCTGCACAATAGCCAAAGTTCATGATTAGAATCACAACTGTCACAAAATTCAATGGACAGGTAACAACTTGACATAACCTATATATTGAATTAAAAGAACAAAAGATGAACCTGGAAGGCGAGTCATTCTTGTACTTCCTGTCAGTGGACTAGCTAAAAAGAAAAATATTCCAGATTGTTCATTCAAGATCTCAAGCACGTGTGCACTGACTACACAAACTTGGGCCTGGGCTAATGCCCAATACACTACTTCCTACACTATACCAACACTTCCAACCTAGTGGTCAAAAAGGAAAGACATTCCAACAGAAAGTCATTAAATCAGGGACAGCTAAAGTACAAATTTCAGCAATGCAACTATTGAAAGTGAACTTTGAAACGTCAATTGTATTGCCGTCAAAAGCTACCAGACCATTCCCCAGAATTGTCGATGGTCAACAACGTTTGCACTAAATCCAACATACAAATGATGAAAACGGTGCAATGTTTCCCATATAGACAGTAGTATATTGAGGATTATTCTCTGGGTCATCACTGTTACTTGTCTCCTTGCCATCTACTGCACCATGAGAGAAGAACATTCCAGGCAGTCCCCATATATTAACAAGGAGAACAAAATGCAACAAATGAGATATCAATATCAACAAACACTGCTTTTACAATTTATTTACAACTCCGACTACATATATATGAATGTTTTGAAAGGGAAAAAAAACACAAAAGATTGCTAGGAAATACAAAAAAAACATCAAAACCCATCATTAAAAAGGAAATACATAAGCTGAATAGAGAAATAAAATTGTCCATCGACATTGTACTTTTTGAAAATACAGTATAATTTACTCACTAGAATAGCCATTTGTGAGTTCAACCACACTTTTAGCGTCTGAACTTTGATTGTCCTCACTAGAACCAGCACCTTTTATGCCCAGTTGCAGCATATTTGTCTACCACCAAGTTTGCTCACCAGATGAGCCATTTGTGAGTTCAACCACACTTTTAGCTTCTGAACTTTGTTTGTCCTCACTCTACCGGCACCTTTTGTTACCCAGTTGCAGCGTATTTGTCTACTAACAAGCCATGTGCCTGAAAGATAAAGCTTAGATATCTTTACTCAGCCACCAAACGGATGTGCAAGTAAGATGAGAATGAAAACATATCCCTCGAGCAATTAAATACGTAAAAAGACAAGAACTTCTAAAATAGTCTCAAAAATAATTTTTAATCTTGAAATACTTGAATTAGTTTTACATTAACTTACTGTTGTTGATTTTGTCTTATAGGCGGATGGTTTGTTTAATTTAAAATTACAATGAGTTTCAGGAAGACATTTCCCAAATAGGTGAGGAGACGGGAGACCCATCAACTCCTCACTTTGGAGAAAAGGGTTATCCACGAAGAAATGCGTGTGAAATTTTTTAAAAAATTCTCTACAGTTTGTGTGAGAGGGTAACTGCAGCCGTGACGGCAAATGAAAATAAACAAATTTCAGCCATTATTGATGACGTGCTGAGCACGAGGTAACTTTTTGGTTACTTTTTCTGCATAGCTTTTTTTTTTTTTAATTGCTAACCCTTTCTAATCATTCTCAATGAAGCTGGAGATTCAAAGAATGACCTATGAAGGATTCATAGGAGGGATTCCAAGAAAATATTCTAAGGATTACCTTAGAGGGGATCCGAAGAGAGAATGGCTGGACAGACAAAGGCCAACCAAAAGTTGAAGGCTGCGGAGCTCAACACAAGAGATGAAGAGCTTAAACTACGAGCCATTAAACTGGAAAAGCAGGAAAAGGAACTAAGCTTGAGGGAAGATGACCTGCTGAAGGAGTGTATGCTTGAAGAATATCATATTGAAGATAAACAGATGATCAAGAAATATCGAAAATAAGTGATGGAGATGTAGTTTGCTCAGTTTTTTCCCTCTTTTTTTTTTTCACTTTGATATATGAGATGAACTAGGGCTCGGCTTTGCTTTGAAGTGTGGCATGCTAATTTTTTTTAATAGAAAAAACAATTGTTAGGATATTGAATTAACAATGTGATGACATGCAGTATTTCATTTGGACTTTATAATAACCATATGTGAATTTAAAAAATGGATAATAAAAGAAGAATGTGGCCCCTGCACAGTAAAAGAATAAATTGAAAGTAAATAACCAATCTAAAGCAAGTCCAACCCACAATGCAAATAATTAATTAGACCTTAGTACCAAACAAAAAGGAACTAGACGAATTTTCAGGCAGGAGGAGAGGGAAAGAGAGGCTGAGGAGCTTTTATTATGTGTAAAGCAAGACCTGAAAATATTACAAGTCTGTCGCAGCAACAAACTTACAGGTTTTATCTGTTGGGTACCTCCTGAGCATGGGTGGAGGAATGTCAATATTGATAGAGCAAGTCATGTTGTTGAGGGAAATGCAGGCTGTGGTAGGGTGGTAAGGAACTGGAAGGGGAGTTGTTGATGGGTCTTTCAAGGAATCTGGACTTTTGTCGTGCCTTCCAAGCTGAATAATGAGGCATGTTGACAGCACTAGAGATTTGTTGGCAAGCTGGGTTGGAGATGAACGTGAAAGTGAGTGCACAAAGCATAAATTTCTTTACATTGCACATACTTGATTGGCAAGGAGCTCTGAAGCACAGACACATCAAAATCGGCGCTGCGCCCCGTGTCGAATATGTATCCAACACGAACATGCGTCCTATACGTGGACGCGACGTGTCCCTTTTTTTTTTTGGCAAAACGGGCCGACGCAAGCAATTGTTGATGGACATGAGTCAATGCGGACAAGATGTGAAACGCAATATGTTTTGGTTTTTTTTCCGTAGATGCCCTACTTCACGAAACGTCGATCGATCCCTTTCATTCCCAAGTCCTTCACTTGACTCACATCACTCTGCTCTGACCTAGTGATCATCCACTATCGTCGATCGCCATCCTTTCCTCCTCCTTCGTCGAGCTCAAGCGAGTAATATTCTCCTCTGTCACTCTATCTCTCCAAGCCACTGTCACTCTCTATCTCCGCCTCCTCAGTCACTGTTTCAATGTCTTCCTCAGTCATTGTATTGCTCTGTCTCTCCTCCTCAGTCGCATCTCACAAGGTAACATTCTTGAGCATGGCTGTTGTTATTTGTGTTATTATGTGAACAGAGTGATCTGATCGCTGATAGGAGAGCTATTTAAAAAAAAGTTTTGTTTCCTTATGTCGTATGCATTTTGTAGTTTTTGCTCCAATTTCCCTTTCTTCTATTTCTCATTCACCCAAACACTGGATAGTTTTGTAGTTACAACAACGACAAAGCTTTAATTTAGATAATTTTTGTTTGTTTGTTTTAAATTTTTATTAGCTTTCCTCATATTAAAATATGCAGGAAATTATTTATAATTATTTAATATTTATTAATTTACGTTGATTATTATTTTTTGCAGCTTGATATTGCTTAATTATTTAACTATTTATATCAAATATTTATATAGCCATATTCATATCCTAAAATTTTTAAAAATTACCACATCAGTATATCATGTTATATCGTATTTGATACTTGTACTTGTATCAATGCTTCATAGGTGAGGAGCAACCTATTAAGATTTACCTTTGCTTAACTAACTGTTTCACTAGTTGTATGAAAACTTAGACCAGATCAGTCAATTGGACTGGTAACCAGTGAACCAATCCGGTCGATGGCGTGAACCGGGGCGAGAAACCCCACAGGTTGGGCGGGTTTCCAGATGACATAATTTTGTTAGTCCAAACCCAAAAAAAAAAAAAACTCAAAAATGCCAGAGCTGACAGAAGGGCGGAGGAAAGTAAGGAACACAGCATTGCGCCATTACCCTCTAAGCCACAAATTATCTCTACTTCTCTTTCGTTTCTTGCCCTCGGCGTCTGGCTGCTGCTTTGCTTGTCTGTCGTCTATCGTGTCTGGTTTGGTGTCCGTGTCTCTTCCGTCTTGCCACCACTCTTGTCTTGGTCGTCAGCTGCTGGTGTTTGGCCTTCTAGTGTTGTTCTCTTGGCCGTCGATGAAGAATTTGAAAGCTTCTTTGTTGTTCTTTGCTAATTGCTCACAGAAACAAAGAAAGCAAGCGATTGAGGAACAAGACGAGGAGGAGAGGAGTTTCAAAAAATGTGCCTTCTCAATTACTGAGTAGTGAGCACTGACCCTTGTACCGCCGAACCACATTCCCGGCGCTCTTTAAATTAAAAAATAATTATTATTATTTAATCTTAAAATTTGACTCAATCATTAAATTTTAACTTATTATAACTTATTTTTAATTTTGACTCTTTCTATTCAATTCCTATAATTTTAATTATTTAAATATTAACTTTTATATTTTTAAAAAATAAAATTTTAAATATTAAAATTATGTTAAAATATAAGACTAATATTTTAAAGTGAAAATATAAGTTTTAATCTCTATAATTTTATTAAATTTTATTTTTAATCCTTATAATTTTTTTAGTATTTTTAGCCTTTATAAAGACTAAAAGTACTAAAAAATCTAAAATTATAGGGATTTAAAAACAAACGTCATTCCATATTTTTAAAATTATAGAGAATAAAAATATTGAAAAATTATAGAAACTAAAAGCAAAACTCAATAAAACTATAGAAACTGATGATTATATTTTTTCTATTTTAAATTACTAAACTATTTTAATCTTTATACAAATCATAAAGATTAAAATTTTAAAATAGTTTTAATCTTCATAATTTTATTTTTTAAAATATAGAGATTAATATTTAAATGGTTAAAATTATAAAAACTGAGTTGCAAGAGTCAAAATTAAGAATGAATTACATTCAAGTTAAAACTATAAAGACCGGGTTATAATGAGTAAAAATTCAAAAATTGAGTTACAACTAGGTTAAAATTATAAAGATCAATGGTTAATTTTTCTATCTTAATATTAATATTTCTAAGCTTTTTAAAAAAATGACAATTTGATCTCAAAAATTGAATTAATAATAGCTAGGTTCATCAAAAAAATTTTTAAAAATGAATTGTAAATATCAATTCAAACAGTTACAAATAAAATTTTTTGCTATAATCTAAAAATTACATCAGATACTTAGAGACTTATTTGTAATTGAAATTCTTAAATTTATAATTATCTAGATCCATATTCTCAACTTAATTTTTAAAAAAAATTCTCAAGAAATTAACTGTCATTAATTTAATATTTTAAAATTTAATTATCATTCAGAACATGAAAAATAGGTTAAACTCGTGGACTAATTCATTTAACTCACTAAATTTGCTAACTCGATTGAAAAACTTAGCCTATTTTTTAAAATGGGTAAAGCCAACCTATCCCGCAAATTTGACAAATTAAATAAATTAGCCCATGGGCTAACCTATTTTTTATGCTTTTATTTTTAAATTTTTTATTATTTTCCATTGCAATATTTCTTATGAATATGCAATAATGACAATGCTTCTCAAATTTAGAATTTATGACTTTTAAATATGATTTTCAAATTTTGATTTGCAAATGAAATTTTTTTTACAATTTATAAATTTATGATTTTTTTTAGTTTGTTTAGAAAGATTTTGGATATACTATGTATACTATTTGTTAATTTCATTAAAGACTTTGAATACATATATATATATATATATATATTATTTGTTAATCTCAATCTATGATTGAAATCACAAATATGAGTTTGTTGAGAAAAATAATATTCATTTATATTCAAATGTTCTTCATCAGTAATAAAGATAATGCATGAGAGGAAGAAGATAATTAATAGCAAAAATCTTAATTTTTTATATTTTAGCTTTATTTTCCTATTTAATTCATATTCCATGAAAACCAAATAAAAATAATATAAAAAATACATATACATTTTTTGTTTTTTAATCCTAATTCGTTTATATCTTTTCGACTTCAATTTCATTTATTTTTTCAATTTTTGTAATGTTTAAATTTTCTTCCACTGGAATGTCCAAGTCAAAAAGGTTTGGTTTCAACAATTTTTTGAAGCACAGCGGCCTTTCTAAAATGCACTATAGATTGCTTTAGATTTACGATAATACTTGAAAAAATTGGATTTGATGCAGTGAACCAAGAATATCAAATCCATTCATTTGGCCAAAAAACATGAGTTATTTAGAAGTAATAAAAAAGAAAGCTTGTCACGCACATGAGCCTAACAAGAGTTATTGGAGTGATTTGATTTGAATATATACATATACATACATATAAATATATATTAATTATAAATTTTAAATTACTTAAAAAAATTAAAATTGTGTTTTGTAAATTGGCTAGTAGGCTCACCAATCCACCAATATGTTGAGAGTGGGTTGGGTTTTCCTATCTCATTTTATTTAACGAAAAACCCAACCCAATTTTTTAAGATACCATCTCACATAAGTTGATCTATAGTATATTTGCACAACTTTATTATCATTTATTTTTTTCAAAAACCTAAAAACTTAGATTATATTTAGGTTAGGATTTCAATTGAGTTCATCCAAACTTTAGTTGAGATGTCAAAGGTTGATTAGAATGTTAAAAATTTTGTTTGAATAAAAAATCCTTGAGAAGAGTGTTGAGGAGTAAACGTCCATTTCAATTGAAGCCACGAAGATGAGCTTGGAATGCAACGTGCGGCCCAATGAGCTTTGGATGAGATTTTCTCTCTCCGTTATTTCCACGTGACTTCTCATAACTTGTCTGATGTCTCCACCTCTGTCACCTCAAGTTTATCTATTTAATTTTTTTTTTCTCTTTCGCTCGTTTTTTGTTTGCCAAAAGATAGAAGCTGTTAAACTTATAAATACAAAACAAAACTTTCTTAAATTTAAAAAATTTAGATATAATAATAATAATTAGCTTTAATAATATCAATATATATGCCTATAAATTCTAAACAAATAACTCATCTCTCAGTCTTTATACGACATGTTTAACTTAAATTACAATTTAATATTCATGATTTATCAATGTATTTTATATCTATAATATGCTTTTTTAAAAATTTATAATTTTGAATTTAATATTTTTTCCTAAAAATATCAAGTTAGTCACAAAATAATATAAAAAAAACTCATATCCATTTTTATTATTATATATCAATTGAATTTTCACTCAAATCATCTAAATAAATTTTAACTTATTCAATGACTTCTGAAAAAAACAAATATCTAAACATAAATTATGTTAAAGTCATAAACTTTTTTTCTAACATAAGTTTGCTAGCCTAAGTTGATTCTAACTAACATCACTTGTAAATTTTTTTAATCCCAATACATGCACACTTAGTCTCACTCAAATAAACTAAATAATGTTTAAATTATTATTATATCTATTAATGTAACATCCTAAACTTTTTAATTATGAGATTTTTAACTAACTATGGGTGAAATTATTAAATTAGAGTATTGATTATGTTAATTGTGTTTTCTGTATAGCTAATAGACCTATTGAGATATTTGGATAGCTTAGGAATTGAGCAAGAATAGTAATTAGGCCAATAGGATCCAATTGATTGCCTAAAATTTCATATGGCCCAACTGAGCCTCCGCCATGATGCAAATTTTCATTAAATCAGATAAAGCAAACAC